TGGGACTGCTCAATTTTTATAATGTATTCTTACCCCAAAAGGCGACCGTGGCGGAGCCTTTGCATAGGCTCCTCGACAAAACGGCAAAATGGACCTGGGGGACACGTGAGGACGCCGCATTCAGGAAAACAAAAGACCTGTTAACCTCGGATGCCATCCTCATACAGTACAACGAGACTCTACCCCTCGCCATCACATGCGACGCCTCACCTTTTGGCGTAGGTGCCGTCCTCAGCCATGCCCTAACGGACGGGAGAGAAGCACCCATTGCCTTTTTCTCAAGAACACTTAGCAAGCCAGAAAGGAACTACAGCCAACTGGACAAGGAAGCCCTTGCCATCGTTGCGGCCGTAAAAAAATTCCACGAGTACCTTTACGGCCGCCGATTCACAATTATCACAGACCACAAGCCGTTGCTAGGAATCCTGGCGGGAAATAAGGCTACACCGAACATCCTATCCCCCAGGATGACAAGGTGGTCCGAATTCCTTGCCGCCTACGACTACCGGCTAACACACCGCCCCGGTAAGACAATCACCCATGCAGACGCACTGAGCCGCTCACCATTACCCGACCTCGAGGACGACCCACCACCCTCAGCATAGAGGCGTTACCCGATCTACCCATAACCGCGTCAGACATTGCCCGAGAAACTAATAAAGACAAACGTCTGGCGCGGGTATTGCATTGGGTAGAAAAAGGGTGGCCGGAAAAAGACAACGACGAATCATTCAGGACATTCAGAAACCGGCAAACAGAACTGTCTTTGCAGAAAGGTTGTTTGTTATGGGGGTACAGGGTGGTCGTACCAGAAAAGCTGCAAGGGAAAGTATTAAAACTTTTACATGAAGGGCACCCGGGCATCGTACGAACAAAAGCCTTGGCCAGAAGCTACGCTTGGTGGCCAGGCATAGATAAGGATATTGAGGGTTGGGTGGCCAGGTGCTCACGCTGCCAAGAGACCAGACCAAACCCCCCTGCCGCACCAATACTAGAATGGGAGACCCCCAGGGGACCTTGGTCTAGAATACATATAGACTTCGCCGGTCCCACAGGAGGAAACACATTCCTCGTCACGGTGGACGCTTACTCCAATTGGCTGGAGGTAAGCAACATGAAAACCACCACAACTGAAGCTGTCACCAGGGTACTCAACAAACTGTTCGCGACCCACGGTCTCCCGGATGTCATCGTGTCAGACAACGGGCCCCAATTCACCTCGCTGGAATTCGAAAAATTCCTAGCGGAACGGGGCATTCGACACGCACTGACAGCAACGGCTCATCCGGCGGCCAATGGTAGGGCGGAACGGATGGTTCAATTTACAAAAAAACCATCCAGAAAATCGAACACGGGGACATACAAGAAAAAATAAATAAAATGCTCCTAATACAACATATAACCCCAAATACGACAACAAACAAAAGCCCGGCAGAATTATTAATGGGGAGGAAACTAAGGTCCCCACTTGACAGACTACACCCCACATACAACCCGGAAAAACCCCCAGACTCATCGAGCAAACACCGGGCATTTACACCGGGCGATGCAATCTATGCAAAAAACCTTACCGGAGACCCACTATGGGTACCGGCAACCATAACCCAACAAACAGGCCCCCACTCATACAGACTGCAGACAATGGACGGACAAGCGTGGAAACGCCACATCGATCAATTAAGATCAAGGGCAAGAAACACAACCGACACGCAAGCAAACACAGGCAACCCCATTAACACAAACCAAGGGGGGAGGAAAGATACAGGGGGCCAAGGAAGGATAGAATATAACCAGCAATACTCACCAGATAACAGCCAACTCGAAGCCTCACCAGGGAGAAGCAGCCAGGCCAGCTCAACCAGCCCGGAAAGACCAGGCGGGAGCGGCGAAAGTCGCAGCTCGACCAACCCGGGTAGACCGGGAGGGAGCTGCAACAACAGGCCAGGCAACACCTTCCAGATGATTCCATCCCATGGACAAAGAGAAACAAAAACCCCGACCGAGCAGGTCGAAAACCAAGGAACAACTGACCTGCGCAAGTCCAGTAGACAGGTACGGAGCCCCGCCTACTTACGGGACTACGTTATGTAGGAACAAACCAAGAGGGGAGGGGTGTTCTGTATAGTTAATTAGCATTCTTGTAAACCCCGCGCCGTGATTGGCTAAAGCGCGCGGCAACCGGATTGGCCGAGCTAGCCGCACCGATTGGCCCGTTAAGAATCTCCCGTGATTGGTCAAGCCAAGAGCGGGAGATTCGAAACGATGTCATTGGTCGCAGCCGCCGCGGCTTGAGAATAAAAAGCCGCAGGTTTTTCCCTTAAAGCTAAGCATGTACTGGAGCACAATAAAGAGCTGAACTTGTCACTGACTCCGAGCTTCCTTCCTGCGCCGGACTCAACACAATCCTTGATTGTCTCTTTTCTCCTTGTCATCCTTCTTTTTTCCTTTTTCCATACAGTTATTTTACTGTCCCATTTCCCCAGTTATTTTCATCTGAGGAACAGAATGGTTTTCAGGCCATTCAGTGAGTATGTATGCCTGTATATATAAAACATTCCTGGGTCTGCATTTCTCATATGGATGGGACAGAGAAATGGGTGAAACCTGACATATAATTTCTTGTGGCTTTTCCAACTGTGATATGCCTACATTACATTGCAGATTTCATCTTAAATGATAGCTTTCATTCATTCCTCATCTCCCAATGCTGAAACAGTGTTTTAGATTTTGTTGTAAGTATTGTCCAAAGAGGGCTATTGATACAGAGTGAAAATGGCAGCTACCAAACTACCCATAGGATTTCTCTATGGATATTCTCAGTCAATCCTACACATATTAGGATTCCATTTAGGCAGCTGAGAAGTTCAAATGAAAGAATGACTGCCAATATCTCCATTTAAATCCCACTCCCATTAGAGAATACCTTCCAAAATTGACAAGGGGAATCTGTGCTTATTTCGTAAACTCTCAATGCTTCCTCCCTGCCTGCCTGCCTCCCCAAAGGGGCTAATAATGTTGCAATGACAAACTTAATTGCTATTCAAAGCCCGCACTTTGAATTGTACCTGGAAACACAAGCAAAAATATGTTAACAACCTGATTAATAATCTGGATGAGGGTGTTCCCCATGTAATACCCTGCAGAGGAAAGAACATTATTGTTTGTTTGACTCAGCTTAGCAAATTGAAATATGTGCCATTAAACTAACAAATGACTCAGATGAGCTTTAACTCAATACTAATGAAGAAGGAATCCCACACAATTAAACCAGTCACGTGGGCAACCACAATGGAGGAAAGTGGGAGCTTTACACGATCTTTCAGGAGAAGGGCCCTGAATCAAAAGCCTGAACACAAGGGAGGTGGGAAGGAAAAAATAGGAAGGAATAACTACATAAATAAATAGGAAGATTTTCAACTTGCCTTGTACTTATAGAGAGTTATTGACTAGATAAATCAAAGCAGGAAAATGCAGCCATTCTGGGTTCGAGACACCTTCATGTACTGCAGATTCTGCTTAATGGCCTCACTGATAAAAAGCCACAAAAAAGGAAGAAGAATTAACTCTGCAGAGGGAACTTTATGTCTGTGATTTATGAGAGAAATAGTGGAGGCTACAACTTAACAGAGAAGTGTAGCCAAAAGAGAGTGAATTCCAGCTATTTGCTACACCTCTTCCAATTCTTCCAAAAGACACAGTATAATTATGACATTAGCCACACTCTTGCTTTTCCAAATGCTTTCAACAATTATCCACCGCAAATATTAAATCATTCCTTATGAGGATCTATGTGGACATATGTTGTGCTTGAAAGACCTTACTACTTAGGTATTCAAAACATGCATGAGCACTGTGGTCCTTATCATGGACTTGGGTTAGCAATGATGGTTGACTGCCCGCATAAAGAAAGCCAACAATTGAATGCCCATCAGGTTTGGCACTTCACGCAACTAGCAATGTCCTCAATTTACTCTCTAGACCTGGGTACTCAAATAGTTCAACCTACAACAGGTTGACTTGGTTGGAAGAAGAGGCTAATGACAGCATGCCATGCAAGTAACTCAATCCAATCAGCGGTGTGGTTAGAGGGGATGAGTTTGTCCAAAGATGGATTGGAGATAAATGAATCACTCTGGAACTACATTATGGAAATAAAGAAAAGTCCAGAAATCAAGGGTTGGTTTTTTTTTTGAGACTATTCTAGAAACTTCACCTCTGTTGTCATTTTTTTTAACTCAACATACCAGATGCAGGGAGAGATGAAGCATAGGAAGAAAAGCATGGGTATATAGCCTCAACAATGTCAATGCTAGCCTTAATTGGGTCACTGCAGTTTCTCTTTCTCTGTGAATCTCTTTTTAAAATTATTTAAAAAAAAGACTGATGGCCATCTGGCAGCTTCCCCATTTGATTATGGCATGTGCTTCAGGAGTGCAGCAATAGTTACTTAGGATATCAGCTGACTGGGCACTTGAGTTTTGTTTAGGAAAAGTGTTCATCAAAAGTTTTCTCCTGGTGATGGCCACAGTCAATTCAACATTGACTCTGAACCATAATCACATTCCTGATGGTGTTAATGATGAATTATTCTTCCCTAAAATTTCTCTTTAGTATTTGAGACTGGAGCTACTGCCACTTTCATTCTGTCAGTGAATCAGTTATGACTTACTACTAAGTACATTTACAAACTGAAGTTCAGCACAACATACATAACAAACCAACAATTAGCACTGGTGAGCCCCAGTCATAAATGCCCAGAAGCTCTTCTGCTTTTTCTGAATTCCTTTCTTTCTAATACAACATATACCTGGGAACTGTCTAATTTTGCTCCACTAGTTTTAATGCATACCTGTTTCCAACACACAACTGTCTTCCCAATGTGAAGTTATTTTCAAACCCTGAACCAAAATACACAGAGAAAGCCCACAATTTATTTTCCTACCTACCTCTACCACATGGACTTCAATGAAGGGGGTGGGGAGAAAGGGGTTGATTTGTACCTTTCATTCCAAACTTTGATCGCCGTCCATATTTGTTGATCATAATAAATAGGACCACCAGGAGAACACAGGCGAAAGCTGCAAGACCCACTGCGATAGATACCTATAAAGAATATCCTGGATGTTAGAGGATCATTGAATACTCAAATCACTTGCATTCAAATGTATATGTTTGTCTCAATAGTCTATTATCTTTACAGTCACTGAGAATTCTACAAATAACCAAATCATTAAAATAATTAAACTAGCTATGTCATATAAGTAAAAACAACTTAAATATTATACGTTTCTCTTATATATTAAAATGAAGGGAATATATATGTATAATTCAGAGAGAAAGAGAGAAAGGAACTCAAAAAATACATGGCAGAAAAATAAACCATCAGGAGCAAGGAAAAGGGTAAAGCTATAGCAGAACAAGGAACATCTGTTCAACTTTTTTCCCCATTAAATTAATAACACATCTTCAGAGTTAAGTATTAGAATGGTTGGGCACACTGTTCCATTCTTGGAAATGTTTTAATGCAACATATTATTGCTCTAGTATTCAACTACTTGAGTTGAATACCTTCCAATATTTGAGCTTAATTATTATTGTGACCTTTGTTATTATCAAGTCATTTTGTGTTGGTCATCCACCAATATAATATTAAAAAATACAATTACAGCCATCCCACTGTGATAATTATCGAAAGTATACAAAAAAGACTAAAATTTAGATCAATCGTATACGTTAAAATGTTAATACCATTATTTAGGTGTTTGTTTAGTTATTTATTTCCATTTAGGTGCTGCCCAACTCCAACAGACTCTCAGTGTAAGTCTTAAAACTAAGATGGTAAGTTTTATGTTTTAAAGAGAAAAATGAATACAGAGGAGATTTATATAATCTGGAGAAAATGGTATAGATTCCTAACTGAAGATAAATTTTAAAAGCTAATATGAATTATAAAATCACTATGTCACCAAGATCTACAGATAACAATCTATGTATAATATTAATATTTCAAGCATAAGAATTATAATAGTATGGTATAAAAATAGAATAGTACATACATGAAGTATTATTATATTGATTTAAAAAGCCAACTGCAATTACTGGCTTTCTGCACGGTTAAGAGATCTATAGCAATTCTGTTGTAACATGCAAATAAAAGTATGCTAGAGATGGCATTTGCTCCAAAATATATTAAACTGTTAGGATCAGATACCATCTCTTCTTTGTGTCCCTTAAAAGGCCATTCCCTGTGTGATTAGAATGACCTCAATCCTGTTGGTTTTTCATAGAAGATCTGGGTGTATTCTCATGCATGGTGTTCAGATATATATCTGCCACTAGTTAGCAACTTCACATGAGGGGTGCGTGTGTGTGTGTTCACTATGGTTAGATGGGCAATCATATAGAATGAATGAATGACTAAATGAATGAATGAGAACCTCTTTTAAAATAATATTTGCATGAAAGATGCTTGTGTAGCTTTACCCTTTTCCATGCCTCAGATATAAAGTCCAACACATTTTTTTAAAGAATAATGTTTTTTGTGTCTTCAAGTTAGGGTTGACCTGGTGACCTTCTCAACTTGTCTCTGAAACTTTCTTGGCAATGTTTTCTTTCTTTCTTTTTGGAGGTGGTTTGCCATTGCCATCTTCCTAGGGCTAAGAGTGAGTGACTGGCTCAAGGTCACCCAGCTAGTTTTGTGCCTAAGGTAGGACTAGAACTCAGAGTTTCCAGGTGTATAGCCTAATGCCTTAATTACCATACCAGATGTGCTCTTCTTAGAGCACAAATATCTGCTTAAAAGTGACTCTGTCACATGCTTGTTTATGTCCACACAGAATTAAGTCCTACTGCAGTACAGAACTTATCCTGATGTAATTATATTCAGGATTACAACTATGGCCAAGTTGTAGTATCACCCTTATAAGATCTAGAACCTTAGGCCTAAACAAATCCCAAAGTAGCTGAAGGATTCTCTTACACTCATAAAAATATTTGTTTACAAAAACTATCACCTAATATTGATACAATAAATACTGATGGGAAACTAAAATAAATAAATTTATATGGAAATGTTGTTTTCTTAATGTTCAAGAGAGGACATTTGATTGGAAACAAATAGTGGCCAAACATGTGGAGCTAATTTGAAACCTGGCATCAATCATTGCTGGGAACCAATTTATATTTCCATTTGTACACCTTGGCGAACTTTCCTTCTGCATCAAACAAGCAAAGGAGAATGGAGAAGCTGAAGGCAATTTAAATCAAAACATTCTATATTTAAACCAATAGCCCTCAAAATGCCAAAAGGCTTATGATACTTTACAGAATAATCAATTCAGCTGGCAGACATTTTAAGGCATCAAAGCACCACAGTCATAAATGTACAAGTAGGAAAAAATAATCAGCATTATAATCAGTACAATACTTGTACCAGTTAAAGAAGGGCATTTTATGATAGTTTTATCCAGAAGGGCAGTTATATTTAAAGCACCTGAACATCTTGACACCTTAAAAAGTCATCTTTATAAAACAGATTTTATGAACTGGAATTGGATTCATCTGATGGAGGAGATTCCCATTGTACCAGCATTCGTGCCTTACTGAATGTATTCGCTTTTAACAACCAGCCCTTCCTGTGATGTTGCAATCTTGTTTGTGTTGGACAGTAATTCTTGATATAAGAAGGGTTTTATGTAAGAGTGCAGTTAGATTCATCTGTGAATTGTTAGGAGAGAGATGCCGTTAATCACTTGAGGGCATTTCACACATTCCAGATTTTGTAAGGGTGAGTATACTAACAGCTACAAATGAAGCAATGTGTAGATGAGATCAAGTCATTTTGACTAAGAGGTCTGTCACGTTGGCACACTCAGCAGAGACACATTATTTGTTGCGGCCCCCATCAAAGTGGGAGGCCCAGGCCTTCTGCCATGTAATGGGAAAAATGACCCACAGACAACATGCAAGGCCAAGAACTGAAAAAGTTGTGTATCACTGAAAAAGTTCTGGAAAGGGTAAAAAGATAGCAATGGGATCCATAAATAAAACAGGAGAGAAACAAAAGAGAAGAGAATGAAAATTAGTTTTGCTGGAGGCAGCTCAGATATTTCTGGTAAACATATTGACAGATAATTTATCTTTTATTTTTAGGTGCATAGAAAGACTTCTCTTAAAAGATATACCCTCACTTATTGGGAAAATATTCTTCTTGCTCTGTACTTTGATTGCAAACCCTACTTCTTTTCAAAATGAAATACACATTGCATAAAATAAAGAGATGTTTCCTTGCTTGCAGGCTACTGTCTTCTCCAGTCTGGAATAATCTTCATATTTTATACATGTTGTGCTTTATCAGATCTGCCTTGTATTTTTTTTTCTGCTTTGTTTTCTACAAGCAGGAAAGTTGGGGAGCCAAAATAGGCCAGGGGGAAGGGGAACTTGCACAATGGTTGTCCTTAAGGAACAGAACCTGCATGCAATGCACATGAGCACCATAGCAAAAACAAGAGATGACATCTTTCTTTGCCCTGGGATTGTGTTTGCTCATCCAAGTATTTTCCCCCCAGCATCTCTCCTCTCTCCAAAGTGGTAATACCCTAAGGAATTCTTGAACATCAGTTTTTGCTGTGCTTATCAAATTGCCCTAAGAATGGGAAGACATGCTTATTACAAACCAGGTATGGAGGAATCTTACTGGGAATTAGTACATTGTGTTCTACAAGCTGAATGCACACAAGTACTCAGTGGTTAGATTCATATACTACACTAAACTAAAATAAGCTTTGGAAGGTTGCAAGTCAGTGAGTTGAAACAACTGCTGATAGTCTTCCAAAGTAATCAAGCCATCATCTAAGCCACCATATAGTTTACATGCTCAGGGATAGATGATGATGTGAATGCAGCAGCCATATTCAGATTTAGCATAAAAACACCAGTTTATCCATCTACTTTTCTTCACATATAATCCCTTGGCATTCTACTGCATGATCCCTCTGCATCCATGGCAAACAACATCCACAACCTGATATGCTGTTTATCAGTCAACAATGAGGCAAAAATGAAGCCATCTAAAATTTCCTAGGTATAAACTCTAAAGAGGAGTCGTCCAAAAGAGACTGATAGGATGGCATTTGTTTGATTCTGCAATCATACACATGACTTTGTTATACTCAGAAACCCCATTCTAGGACAACTTACAACATGGAAACAGCTAGTAAGCCATTACCCTAGCCAGGATTGTGGATGATATGAATGAGTTAGTTGGCCTTTGGCTTACCATCTCAAGGGAACACAGTAATTGTGGTTCATATGATCTTTCTGGGTAGACAGGGTGCTAAGCTGCATCCCCAGAGAAATCCACAAAGTATAAACCAGTGGTTAAGATAAAATTATTTCCCATTGTCAAACCACAAGCATCTTACCCCAAATGTGTCTTCCTCTGGCTTATGTGTCACTGTGATGAGAGGGGAGGGACTTGGGCTGTATTCATCTGAAACCAGAGGAACAAAAGAAGAAGAAAAAGTTTATTTCACAGTTTAGAAAAACGTGTACGTACACAATAAATATTATATTTTACATGTGTATGTGTATGCAATTAACTCTTAGAAAAACCCCTGTTCATTCCTTCCTATATCTACCCCATTGTTGTAGTACCCCAATATTGTCTTATAATGTTATTTCCATCCCACATCCAGTTGAAGCATCCTGTACTTTTGGATAGACTTTGATTCCTCTTATGTCCCCCCCCCCCCAACTACTCCAAATTCCATTAATGGCTATTCTGCTCAGGAAGCTTTTAAAACAGGTTGATGCTGTTTTATTTCCAGATTGATGCTTCTATTTGGACACTCCTACCTCTCTGCTGTCACATTTATCCCAATTATTTTTTCTGCTGATGTTCCTAAATTAGCAATTTCTGCTATCCATTGGTGAAAAAATGCAGGGAAGCTTAACTCAATATCATTTCAGAGAAATACCCTAACCTAGGTATCCAAATGCTGGCAATCATTAAGAACAACAACATCAACTAAAGGGATGGTGAATTAGACTTGGAAGGACATGACCAAGATGAGCTTGACTTGGGTGGTATACTACCTTTGGTCATGTAGAGCCCAACTCTTGAACTGATGGCCATCTCCATGTTTCATAGAAGTTCTAAATTTCAGTTGTCCATCCCTGGGAAAAGTTCTTTTTTCCTGCAATCTTTATTTGCATGAAAGAAGAAAGAAAGGAAGTCCTCTCTTCACTCACCCCTTATTTTTTAAAAAAATATGGGTAATCTTAATCTGATGACAATTTACACTTGTTTGTCAAAAAGGTACATATCCACTTTTCAGCGGCTGTCATGTTTTCTTCTGAAAAGATATACAGTAGCTAATCTGTGAAACAGATCAGCAAAATATCATAGTACGGAGTGTTCCTAGTCAGGTGAACAACTGGCTATGACTTTTATTCAATATTCTGATCCCTTCATTCATCTAGCTTTCCCTTTCATGATCAATGAGAAAATGTATCTTTACAGGACTGTTTCTGAGTTTTCCCCTTACCGCCCACATTTCTTTCATTTTTTACTTCCATTAAATCCCAGGAAAAGCTGGTATTGTTTTAGCTATATAAATACTCATAAACTCTTAGGAGTTTTTCCTTAGCAAATTAAAAAATACTAGTCATCTGCAGAAAAATTCAATTGGATGAAAGGAAATGTACTTTAAATCTTTTTTTTTAAAAAAGCAAAACAGAATGTCACTGAAATTCTCAAGAGTGAAGTGTAGTACTCTTGCTTTTTTAGTGAAGTGTTTCATGGTTCAACCTCCATGAATTCAAAATATTTTTCTCATCTTCGTGCCCTCCAATTCATTTAGACTTTATTATGTGAGTTGGTTTAACATCTGGCAGATTCAAGCTTCATGATTAAGGCTATATTCCATCAGGTTGAAATTAAAAATGTTATCCATAGGAGCCGAATCAAAATATTAAATTAAAATATCACCCCACATGCCATGGTTTGGTTAGTTCTGGCTTTGCCTTAATTCAGCCATTATGGTTAGTTTACAACTTATTATGCAATGCAGAACCAATATATTGTGATTTGTCCAACAAGCCGCAGGTAAGCAAAGCAACTCCAGCCAGAATTGTGTGAAGGCACACAATACATGCACAGGATTGTGTCAATTCATTCCATGTTGCCCAAAATCTAATTCATTCCCCAATAGGAATCAAATCACTCTTGGAAAGGATGCAACACTAGAGTCCCAAAAGTTAAAGATGAGCAATCATTTCTCTTTGATCTACAATATTTGAACATAAAACCAGGGCTGGGCTGCTGGGGGTTCGCAGAGGTTCGGGAGAGCCCCTAGCTAAGATTCTATGCAGTCCGGAGAACCCCCAAATCCCACTCCTAGCTGATGCCACCCACACTACCCCTCCCCTCCCAGGAGTCCCCATGTGACTCATTTTGGATGCAGGTAAGTGCAGGGCACATGTGGAGGCTCGGGGAGGGGGACAAATGGGCCTCCCAGAAGTTTGGGCCCGTTTCTGGCTTCCAGGGAGCCTTCAGAGCCCGGGGAGGCCATTTTCACCTTCCCGGAGGCTCAAAGAAAGCCTCTGGAGCAGGGGAGGACAAAAATGCCCCCCCACCATGGTGCAGGAGGCCAACTAGGCCACGGTCTCCATGGCCACGCCCACCCAGCAACCGGGCAGAGAACCCTTTGCTAAAATTGTTTGAAGCCCACCCCTGCATACAACATGGGTGTAGGTATGATTATCAAGTTAAAGGAAGCAGTTATTTCAACCTGGACCTCTCAATGCTTTGATTGGACACCATAAAAGCTCTGTGTAATGAAGCACTTTGCCAAGGGAGGTATCCACACAACTCACATGTTAGCAATAGTTAGTTTTAGAAAACTTGCTACCTTTATACCAATAATGTTTTGATAAGCAATCTAGAGCCACTGAGAAATAGGTGGCACATAAACGTAATAAAATGATTATGCTCAGTTTCCCCCCCCCCCTGATTTCTCCCAGGGATGCCCTGCCCTTTGATCCCTTCCTAAAATTTGTTCTTACTGTTCTAACAAAACAAAAATCCTTGATTAAAGGTCTGAGTGATACAGAGGAATTGTAGTCTGATCAAACAGGCAAGGAAAAACTTACATGTGACAAAGATATCTGGAATGCCTGTAAAAAAAACAAAAACAAAAAAGAGGTAAAGACAAAGGGGGGAGAGAGAAAGAGAAATAAAATGGTTATCACTATCATTGGAGAACAATCGTGAATCTATTCATGATTGTTCACGAATCGTGATGCTATTAGTAAAGCCACTGGCTGAATTCTCCTCTGATTTAAAAGAATTTTCACATATGTTTTGAAATAGGATATATGAAGGCATATGAAGAGAGGGGTTTTTTTGGGGGGGGGGTTTGTTAGTTGGAAAGTAGCCACATGCCCTAATTTACAGAGGACATTATAGACAATGTTCCTGTATAAAAAATTCTTCTGTTTTAGAAGCCTGACTGCTTTAAATCTGATTTAGGAAATAATGGGAGTTAAAGGGCCCAATTTAGCTATCAATCGTTAGTATTTAATAACCAGGCAGTCTTCCCCATTACAGGGCTGTGAACTAGGATCTTGTTGAAATTATATTAGCTGTGCTAAAAAACTACCATATTCAAGAGTCATCCCCTTTAATTACCTTGTTGGCAATACAGTTCCTCTTTTTAGAAGAGGCATGTAAGTAGCTACTCATTCAAAGTATTCCATGCTAGTTATATTGCAGAGTGGAATTTTGGGTAGGCATTTGGTCTTCCAAACCAGAAACGTATACAAATCTCTGCTTATCCACAGAGCTTAATATAGGAGTGTCCAACCTTGGCAACTTTAAGCCCTGTGGACTTTAACTCCCAGAATTCCCCAGCCAGCATGGGGAAATGGTTTCAAAATGACAATTTTTTTTAATGAATTGGACCTTAGCCAGAAGATTATCTGCCTAGAAATTCCAAATAATTTTTTCTCTACCATAACAACTTCTTCAAAGATAAGATTTAATGGTCTCTATAGATCATTAATAGAGAAAGTTCCATGGAAACAAAACATAAATAATAAATCAGGATATCACTGGCATTGTGCTTTCCCTATATAACAAAATGTCAAATTTCATTGTGGGAAGTAACTAATAGGTGCTCTGCATTCTCATGACAGCAGGCCAGATGGTAACATGCATGTATAAATGCCTGAAAAAAATCAATTATATCAGGACTTTCTCAAGTTAAAAAGAGGAAGGCATTATATAAATCTTGTTATTTCAGACTGCAGACACATAGCATTATTTGTTGAAAAGAAAAGAAAAAGTATTGTGGACACTTATCCATGTTCTTATAGATAGAACAACTTTTTTTTTGCATTTATTCTTTCATAGAAGAGCAGAGAACTTGAAAAAACTTCTTCTTGAAAATTCCCATGATGGAAGTAACTGATAACTTCTGGAGGAAAGTTGTTCCACTGATGAATTGTTCTCACTGTCAGGAAATTTCTCCCAAGTTCTAAGTTGGATCACTCTTTGAAAAGTTTCCATCCATTCCTTCTTGTCCTGCCTTTTATGGACAACTGGGCAAATGATTGCTTAGTGTGGCATCCAACTTTCAGCAATAGTCAGCCAGTTCATCTCCAAAAAAGCTGACCTACTGATAACTTTCCCCATTTATGTATCTGCCTGGATCCACTACTCAAAGGTATTACCCTTCTGAACACGGGAGTTCCATTTAGTGACTGTGTCAAGTAGCTCTAATAGGTTTGCATTCCATTCATTATCAAAACCCCTTTTAAAGGTCATTTACAAGGAGACCCTTCTTCTCAGATTACGCTGATGAATTCTATCAGTTAATCAAATGTATGTGGCGTTTCATTTTGGAAATTTAACTTTAATATGATCCAATCAAACTCTTAATCAACTTTCTGAATCAAAGCAATGATTCAGTTAAAATTGTCAGATCAAATCAGATACCCTGGATGTCTTTTGCACACGCACATATTAGCATCTGAAGTGGTTCAGTTGAAACCAGATTTGATCCAAGTAGTTTCAGTTTTCATTTTGGGGCAGGGAGATCAATTTAGATCTGGGACTTGCTGTTTACACTAGTTTTCCAAGTGGGGGCTGTTCTCCAAAAGGTTTGGAAACCAAGAACAGCTTGGAACCCTAACCGCAACTGACTCATATGTTAGTGAGGTTTGTTAGGAAAAGAAGAAACAGAAGGAGTTCAAGCCAAGAGGAATTTCTCTTTTCTTCTAGTTGGAAAAAAGCTGAGAAAATCTTCCTCAATAACAGAAACACTGTAGTAAATTATTTACTACAAATTGCACCGAAGACAAAATTAAATATTCACATTGTACCGTTCTACTTCAGTTCTTGTTCTAATGTTAATTGTTTATTCATTCATTAAATGTACTTCCCACCTTTCTTTCAGGACCTGAATTTGATCTTTGTAGCAATCGTCGTTTCAGAGACATGGGCTAACCTGAGAGACAACAACTGGCCTAAAATTAACACTCAGTCCTGGTCTTTAGAAAAAAAAAAATCCATCCCATAGAGAAGAATTGAGGTATCTCCACATTGCATGCAAACAAACTTTATTACGTACTGTAAAGAAATTTGATGTGCACTTAAGAGTTACTCAGTACAAACAGAGTAAATTTTTTTAAAAACCCAAGTGGGATTTTGTATAGGAATATTGTATATTGTCTAATTGGATCCTCATATTCCTTTTTTTTTTTTTTCATTTATATGTCTCAACCAAAATGTAACATAAGCACTCACCCCTTTAATGAAGGAGAGAGACTATCCTCAAATCAATTCATTTGTTAGAATACCCCGACTTTCAACAAGAGCTCACTGATGTGCATTACAATCTGTCCATATGTTTATCCCCATTTTTTTAAAAAAATATCTGGGATGGAACAGGTTGGGCTAAGAAACAATGATAATCCGAAGTCCTCAGTTGAACTTCCATGACTGAGGCTGAACATCAACCTTGGTTTCCCCATTAACCATGCTGAATTTGGAATACACAGATCTCATCATTAAAAAAATGGACCCCTCTTTTATCTTTAGAAAAAAAAGCTACAAAAAAGCTTGCCCTCCCCTTGCTATAAAGTGTCAATCTCTCACTTGGAAATGGTTTCTCCAGAAAATGTCCTCTGACAGTCTGGTTGGCTGTTCCCAAGGAGTTGGTCGCCACGATGGTGTAGTTGCCATTGTTGTAATGAGTGGGATGGTTGAAGAGCAAACAGCCATCTGTGATGTCCCCACCCTGGTAGACATCCATGCGGATGAAGGCGGTTTGCCTAAGAAACTGGCCATTGTACAGCCAATGAATTTGGGGTGGAGGGTTCCCATGAACGGAGAACTCGATACAATGTTCCATATGCCGGATTGGTTCCAGTAGGCTGAGGATACGGGGAGGAGCTAAAGAATGGAAGAGAGTGGCAAACAAACATTAATAGTCATCCACAAAATGTTAGAGGGGGAAAAAAAAAATCACAGATCAACCATGCTTTCTCTAAACTCTGTTGGAGGCACAACTGGATTCAACTTTCAAAAACTCAAACATTCTATTTGTATTTTAAGATCATGTAAAGTCTCATCTGCCATATATTATAATATACATTTTCCTACTGAGGGAGGGAGCGAAGGAAAGATGGAAGGAAGGAAGGAAAAGGAAGGAAAGAAGGAAGGAAGGAGAAGAAAGGAAGGAAGGAGAGGGGAGGAAGGAAGGAGAAGGAAGGAAGGGAGTGGGGAGGGGAGGGAAAGAAAGAAAGAAAGAAAGAAAGAAAGAAAGAAGGAAGGAAGGAAGGAAGGAAGGAAGGAAGGAAGGAAGGAAGGAAGGAAGGGCATATGAAGCACAAAGTTAGGAGTGCTTTGAATCTAAATTTCCCTGAATGTCAAACTGTTCAGCTTCTGATAATATAGGCTGGGAAACCTGTGGTCTACATATCTTATAAAACTTGCTTGATTTTTTTTATGAGCAATGCAACAGAAAATGAAGAAAATAAAATGGAGTCAAAGACTTCAAACTCTTTAAATTATAGCATGGCGATATACTGCAGGGTGGGCAAGACATGGCCTAAATGTTACATATATTCTTCCAGGGCTCGGCTACCAAAATTAAGTGGCCAAACACAGAGGTTCCCTCACCTCTCTTTTTCAGGATTTGTACAGAAATAAGAAAAAAAAATATTGTATTTTAAAATCATGGAAAAATTGCCAACACTCTCCTGTTTCTAGCAACCTATGTAAATGTAAACAATGTAGATGTAAACAAATCATGGCCCAGTCACAACAAGAAAGCCCATCTCTGAAATATTTCAGTTGAGCTTGGTGTATGTAGCCGAGGGAGTATACGTAATGCAACATTAAATCATTTCATATGACTATCAATATTGTGGACCATTCAGATCCTTCTCAATATTTCATTTATCAATTAGCAATAGCACTTAGACTTATATACCACCTCACAGTGCTTTACAGCCCTCTCTAAGTGGTTTACAGAGTTAGTATATTGTCCTCAACTATTTGAGTCCTCATTTTACCCATCTCGGAAGAATGGAAGGCTGAGTCAACCTTGAGTCTGGTGAGATTCAACTGCTAAATTGTAGGCAGTCAGCAGTCAGCAGAAGTAGCCCGCAGTACTGCACTCTAACCACTGCACCACCGAGGTGCAGTGAACTTAGACTTATATACCACTTTACAATGCTTTACAGCCTTCTCTAAGCAGTTTACAGAGTCACCATATTGCCCTCAACTATCTGGGTCCTCATTTTACCCACCTCGGAAGGATGGAAGCCTGAGTCAACCTTGATTCTGGTGAGATTTGAACTGTCAAATTGTAGGCAGCTGGAAGTCAGCAGAAGTAGCCTGCAGTACTGCACTCTAACCACTGCACCACCATGGTTCTATTTATTTATTGCTTTCTTACTACATAGGTGTAGGAATCTACATTTATACTACAGTGTATAAAAACAGGCCATACAGGATTCTGTGGGTCTTCTATAGAGATAAGCCATTTTCTGCCACTCACATGATCCAGAAGGGCAAGTTAAGTACATGCATATTAGTATGGATTGGCAAGGATATGACTCATCTTGTTCAAATGTCAGAGCATTCATTCAACAGAATATAAGTCTCTTCACTGTCAAATCCTCAGAGTGAAAACCACAGTGGACTAGTTAGCATGCCACAAGAGAAGCTTCAAGAAGGAAAAGTGAAGCCGGACTTCTGGTTTGAAGGGCTTCGGCGACAGACAGAAATCCGCAATCGTGCACGGTTTCTGTCTGGGCTCACCACTGGAGAGCCCCGACCCGGCTGGTTTCGGGGCTAAGCCACCCTGTAGAGGTGGTGAAGAGTGGGGAGACCACCAGCAGGGTTGAGGAGAGCCGCATCTCTCCTCCTCAGCTGGCCATTACTCCCTTTCCTGAAGGCAGTTGCAGCGGTGGTCAGAAATGGCCACCTCAAAGAAGAACTCGACCGGAAAAGAATGTGCAGGAGGAAGATAAGAAGTGAAAGTTTTGGTTGACTGTGTTAAATTGTAAAAGCAACAACTAAGGTACCCTGGAATTTAAACTTACAAAAAATAACATCGCTCCCAAAGAAGAGTCGGAAGCAGCGAAGGAAAGTGAAAAAGGAAAGGTTTGGCTTTTTTTCCCTTCTCTCTCCTTCCCTATACTGACAACTAAGAGACTTAAATAAGAAATCGGAAAAATCCGCTTTGACATCAATAGGCAATTAAGCTGAAAATAAAACAAAATGCCAAAGGGATAATAAAGATTTCTGGACATTAAAAAATTTCTTTTTCATAAGCAGGAAGGGAGAGAAAAAGAATAAGGGCAGGATCTGGAAGAGGAAGGAGACTGCCTGGAATTAAAAAGAATCTACAGTAAAACTTCAACAAGACTTCTAAAAGATACATTTTAACTGAAACTTTGCAACTAAATAGTAAACCCAGGAAGAGAAAGTGAAAAAAAAGAGCAAAAAAGAAACAGCTTGCGTGCATTTGGATTATTTGGTGATCTTTGGATTCTTGGTTATTATATTTGAATGACTAAAATCAAGTGGGTGGTTGTTTAAAAATTTATACAATGGCACCACTTCTGGATGAATTGAAAATGGAACTTAAAAAGTACAAAGAAGCTGCACAAGAAGGGAAGGGTTCTTTTGGCTTCATTTTTCAATTCTTAGAAATGGAGATTTGGAACTATGAGAAACAACAAGAAACGACTGCAAAACAAGAGGACTGGGACAAAGAAGAAGCCATCTTTAATGAACAAGCAATTTTATGTGGGGAAGAAAAAGGAAAGGGGGGAAAGAGAATGGAAAATTTAAGACGTAAAAAAAACAACCAAAGAAAAGCAAAATAATTCGAAAAATAAGTATAATACTGGAAAGCAACAGAAAAGGGGAATACAGAAGAGAGAAATCAAGGTAGAGAGACAAGAGGGTAAAAAGGCGAGAGAGAAGAAGAGAGGGAAGAAGGAAAGGAAAAGAAGTTACAAAGGACCGGAGCAAGATATAGAGAAACAGGACCTATTTAGAGATAATGGGTGAAAATCTAACTGAAAAAGGGATTCTGTAAAGGTACATAAGATTGTATTGTTATATTAGTAATAGAAATAACTTTAGAAAATTGGAAACAACATATGATTAAAATGAGGGATAAAATAGTGTAATTTAGTGAAATGTTTGTGAATAAAATAAGTGAAATAAAATAAATGAGAAAATTGAATTAGGAAGGAATGGGAACATTTTAATTAGTTAATGTTTTATAAAATATAAGTGAAGAGGGGGGGAGAATTAACTATGGAAAGCTTATAATTGTTCCCATAGAAGTATGATATTTAATTGAAAAGTAATGTTAAAGATGTTAAGACTTTAATGAATATTAATATTAATGATAGAATTGAATTGGAATGGAATGTTGTTTTAATTATATACATTTATATTTTTTTCTTTTTTTAAAGAATACAGTGTGTATTTTAAGAATGTACCAAGCAGAATCCGAATGGAAGTTATGTATTATATTGAATTTTACAACTTTAGGGAAAAGATATAAAGGCGTCATACTCCAATCAGTAACTACAGGAGAAATTTTGTTTAATGAGAAAAGATAATAGATAATTGAAACAGGACAGACAAAAAATATAAATACAATGATTTGAATTGAGATGAGATAATTAAAATAAAATTGAGAAAATTAAAAGAGGGGAGAAGCTATGCAGAAAATGTAAAATAGTAATAAGATATGGAATAGAATATAAAAATGAGCATGAACCTGAATTTGTGTCTGTACGAAGAAATGTAACCCGGGATTACGCTACTTTCAAAAAAGATGTTTTATTTGTATTTTTTTTCTGTTTGTGAAAACTCAAATAAAATTTACAAAAAAAAAAAAAAATAGAAGGAAAAGTGAAGCTGTTTGTGCATTTGAAGTCTACTGGCAACTTAATGCATCTTTTTAATTTTTACTTGCTGCCAAAATCAGCAGGCCATTACTATTAGAAGTGAGCAACACTTTTTCAATCTGACAGCTGTTTTGGGAATTTCATTAATATGCCAAGCGAAGTTGTATCAAGTCTACGTTAGGATGAAGAATCTGAGGCTGTCCAGATGTTTCTTAAACTACAACTCTCAGAAGTCCCAGGTGGAAGTATTCTTAGTGTTTGATTGACTACAGATGCTGGGAATCGTAGGTCCACAACATCCAAGGGCCACCATACTCTATGTTGTCAGCTGAAAGAAGCAGTGGCCATAGTCAATATTAACATTACTCTTCCATTTTTTTCATCCTAATAAATCCTGGAATAAAAATCTCAACATACTTGCAAAGAAATATCCCAGGTCTCATTACAGAATTCCACATCATATTTTTTTTTCCCTAAAGAAAATTTCTCCAGCTAAGTTCTTACTCAGGAAAAGTGCACAAAAACCTCCCATAAATGGATTTCCCATCTTTCAACCCCTCTCTTCTTTTCCCCCCATTGACTTACAGTATACAGTGAGAAGTACGCTGGCATTAGACATTCCTACCACATTCTCAGCTATGCATGTAAGCAGGAACCCATTGTCTTCACTGGTTACATTCACCAGGGTTAAATTGATGGAATGGACATTGCTCCAGTTGGCATTTGTCTGAAAATCACCACCAGAAAGATAGTTAACATAAATAAAAACAACAGATCCCACAACGACTGAATGTCCCAGAATAGACTTGCCCAAATAGATGAGGTTCGACTTACAGCAGTTCATTTAGTGACCAAAGTTACAACAGCACTGAAAAAGGGGACTTATGACCATTTCCCCACACTTATGACCCTTGCAGCATCCCCCACGGTCACACGATCAAAATTCAGACCTTTGGCAACTGACTCATATTTATGATGGTTGCAGTGTTCCCGGGGTCATGTGATCGATCCCCCTTTGCGACCTTCTGACAAGCAAAGTCAATGGGGAAGCCAGGTTCACTTAACAACCATGTTGCTATTTTAACAGCTGCCATGATTCACTTAACAACTGTGGCAAAAAGGGTCATAAAATGGGGCAAAATTCATTTAACAAATGTCTCGTTTAGCCACAGAGATTTTGGACTTGATTGTGGCTCTAAGTTGGTAACTACCAGTGTATTCCATATACCGGAAGAGCACCCAGATTGGTGGACACTGCCTTAAAACACAACATTAAACTTTTTTATAGTCAAAGCTCCCTAAAATTAAATGATGAAAGAAAGAAAAATCTGCTCCATGATCCTCCAGATAGGCGGAATAATTGTTTGAAAGTCTTTTGGGGAGGACAAAAAGCAAGGGAGCTTTGCTATTAAGCAAAAATATAGAACATGAGGGGCTGCTAGGAGGGAAGTACAAAAATCATGTTTTACAGAAAGCGTAGGTGGAAGTTTGGAACCAACTTCCAGAGGAGATATCGGTCAAACATCAGTAACTGAATTTAAAGATGCTTGGATCAAACACATG